GTGGTTGCGTCTCGATAGCTATAAGGGTGCGGGAGATATGAGGCTGAAAGTGGTTAAAAGTAGCTTTCTATTTCGAATGTTTTGTTCGAATTAAATTCGAATATTGGTTCGATTATAGAACAGTTGTAAACGTTGAAAATAGTTCGTTTGACTAAACGTAAAAATTCTCTAATTAGTCTGGAAACGGGGGACCTAATTCTTGCATTCTGTGAAAACGGGTAAGATTAGCTATAATGTAATTATCTTAATCTTCACTATTGTTACTTTTTGCCCAGCGAAGCGGGTCCTTCAGCTAGATTTTAGATTACTTAGAAAAACAGTCTTTTATATATATATATATAAAACTATATTACGTACAAATAAAATCCCGGCGAAGCGGGTCCTTGCAGCTAGTATCACATAAATATATTCAAATTTCGAAACATTTCGTATAAACGCGAATGTCACAAAAATTTTATAGAGCGATTATAAACAGAAACTTATTTTTAATGAAAAAATCGGAAAAACAACCATTCGAAAAATAAGGCAAGAATGTTAAGAATAGTCACAATTAAAGTGATGACTAGTGGCATGTTCTAGAAAGAATTATTTGAAGAATAAACAACTTCTAGGTATCTCTTCCGACTACGCATTTCACCCGGTTTTATCATATATTAATTGAAAGAAGGTTTCAGTTTATCCGACTTACGTTAAGTAAAAGGCTGAGGCTAAAAATAGGGTTTGGGTATCAAATTAAAGCTCTTACCCTGTAGATGATGCCGCCGAAAAGAGATATCAGAATGGTACGACGGTTCTGGCATGCTCGAAGTGGCACTGGTACAATGTTAAATCTACGGGACAAACAACTCGGGTTCCCACCCCCTTGAAAACCTTAGCCCGAGCAATTTTTGTGTTTTACGATTTTATTTTGTAAACATTGTAGTTAATAAATGTACACTTTAGTTACTAAGACTATTGTTTTTATCACTCTCACCGAACTCAGTTTCACCAATCCCACCTCCTCAAAAGCCCAAGCATAGTTATTTAATACATTAAATGCATTATTTATTACATTTAATACATTACTTTTCATTTTAGTTATTATTATTAACAATATTAAATAAGCTCGCTCATTTGCCAAATCGATTGATAAAACGGAAAGTAGAGAAGTCGATAAAAAAACATAAGCTAGGTTCATTTTTAAAATTTGTTTTAAAATTTAAATTTAAATAAACGTTGTAGAATGTATTTTTACAAGCATACCTTTTATCTAACGACATATACGTATAAAAATGTACAAAATAGTATATTCTTTGAATAATTTTACATTTTTCGCGTGTCTAAGGGAGTTTAGCAAGTGAAAATAAAAAGAAAATAATTAATAACATCAAATTCTCATTGAACTAAATTGTTACATAAAATATTTTATTGTGTATTCTTTATATGTATTATCAACGAGGACAGTGTATTATCGTAGATTATCCCCAGAATAGTCCAGGAACGGCTAAAGGTTTTTTAATAGAAAAATCGTATCATTTTATTAAATATAATTTACAAATATTAAATACATATAGTTATATATTTTATAAAGAATCACAGTAAACAAAAAATTATATTCACTTTTATAACTATTTAAAAGGGGTTTTTTTTCGGACGAATAAATCGAAATGTTATGTCCTTCGAATTCGACGTTTACCAAGTTCAAGAATTACTCAGAAGTCGATTTAATTCTCAGATATTTCATTTAAATGAATTTCGGATCGGAATTCTCACCTCTTCAGTCTAAAAAAAATAAATTTATTTTGTAATTTACAGTTAAAATTCTTTTTAAACAAAAATATAAAATATTAAAATAAATCACTTAAAAAAAAGTATAATCTGCGACAGAACTTACATCAATATTTCGGATTCTTCGAAATCAATATGTATATATACGAAAAACATATAGAGATTAAAAATAACTTAATTAATTTGAATAGTGGGATGTAAATATATGACGTGTAGAATGACGTCACATATAAGAACGTCTGCAATTATTTATTGTGACATCGTCACAATGCCGGGATTTTTAATCATATTTTTAATTTATTTAAATTAAAATATATGCCCTCCACCACAAATTAGTAGTGTCTTGCCCCTGTACATCACACTTTTCATTTAACAAAAGATTCGTGCCGTTCATCCCTCTAAACACCTTTCAGGGCAAAAATTTTGAATTCTAACACCTTTCAGGGCAAAATTTGAAATAACATGACTTCCGGTTTACATCGGAAGTTCATATATAGTTAATCGGGGACTTCAGAAAGGTAACTATTATAGAATTAGTGATAAATTGACTTAAAATACATTGAATAAAATTAGAAAAGTAAAAACAACTCATACAATTAATTGCTTGGTTTCTGAAATAAATTATTTATTATTCCCCTAACAAAAAGTAATTTTCTAGATATCTGCATTAAGCATATTAATAAAATATATTTATTTTAAATAAGGAAAGTTAAGCATCAATCGAGTGCTTTGTCAATTGGATCAATTGGATTGCGAACGGCTCAAATATTAATAATAATTTGAGAAATAATTGTAACCTATTTTATAAAACTGTATATACATGTAAATATATAAAAGTATAAATATTTTCGTTGCTAACACAAACAAAATTACAAACACTAATCACAATCCATTATTTTTTCGTGACGTTTACGAGAATATTGACCTTATCCTCATCGATAAATAATTAGATAAAGATTTTAAAATAAAAATAACAATATTAAATGTCGAATAAATGTTTAAAATATCCCCGTCATTCTAAATACTAATTCGTGTTTTCTTAATTCTTCTAAATCATCTAGTTAATAATATACTGTATTCCAAATTCTTTCTGTTATTTCCTGCCGTAAGATGGCGCCAGCAAGTTGGCTGAAAACAGAACTCTCGCGTTCAGAAGAGCGGTAAAATGATGCCATCACCACATTGGTCATCTAACGACCAATAGACGAATCGCCCGAGCAGAAAAACACGGATATTGGTTAAATTGAAAAACGTCATAGCACGTGACGTAACAGGCTAGAATTATAATAATCTCGTACCGTAAACAAAGGTATCTTTGGTATCAAAGGTAAACAAAGGTAGCATCTTGGTTTAAGCAGATGATTGATAAATCTTGCATAAATATGCAATGACTGCCCTTGGTTTACTGGTTTTATGCTGGGGCTTAATAATTTGCTCCGGGTCATCGTCGATGGAATCGAGGGAGAGCGATGTTGATCCCGACGCTAACAGAAATGTGGTAAATTAAAAATTTATATTTTAGTAATTACTTAACATACTTTTTAAGTTGTAGATTATTTTTTATATTTGTTTTAGACCCAATTAATAAAGAGCAAAGGCTATCCAGTGGAAGAATATACAGTTCGAACGAGAGATGGCTATCTTTTGAAACTTGTTAGGATTCCCTATGGCAGAAAAAATCGTAGACGAAACACCAGAAATCGTCGGGTAGCTTTCCTGCAACACGGCTTTCTGGGATCCGCTTCTGATTGGGTGATGAATTTTCCCAGCCAGAGCCTTGGTAAGCCTTCGTTTAGGGGAGATTAACCGATAAATTTCAACAACCAAAACTTTTTATTGGAAATCCTTATATTAAAATATAAAAATTGTTTCTGTACAAACTTCTTATTAATTAATTTAGCAATAATCAGTATACTGATTATCTACATTTTCTATTCTGCACAGATAAAAGTACAGTACATACTTAGTTTTGCACATATTGGAGTACTGTACGTTCAAATACAGTAAAGTAAATCATTGCATTAATCAGTTAATATTTCTTGCAAAAGGGAATAATAATTTTTCAAGTGTTCTTAATTCATGATAAACTATTTGTAGGTTATATCTTGGCCGACGAAGGTTACGACGTATGGCTGGGAAATCAGAGAGGTAACATCTACGCCCGGAGGCACGTCAGATATTCACCCCGAAGCAATCGATTTTGGAATTTCAGGTCAGTTTAAAGTGAAGACTGAGGGATTTTTGCATATAAATATAAAACGCTTCTTTTCAGTATTGACGAACACGCCAAGTATGATACACCGAATAGCATAGATTTTGTCCTGAAGAAAACTGGTCAAAGACAATTGTATTACGTGGGATGGTCGCAAGGTTGCATGATAGCTTTTGCATTTCTCTCCGAAAATCCCAGATACAACAAGGTAAATGATGTCTATACTTATAATTCACACAGCATTTACCAGTTATTTAAAGTTAAAATATTAAATTTTTCAGATTAAAGCGATATTTGCTTTAGCACCAACGGCGACAGTCGGTTATATCGAGAGTCCTATACGTTATTTAGCTCCTTTATCTAATAACCTTCGAGTGAGCATAATGTCTAATACTAAATATTTTTTCCTTAAAGATTTAAACTTAAGATTGGTTTAGCTTTTATTTTCCGCTCTAGGACAAAGAGAGCTTTTACCAAACAACTACATCACAAAATTATTTGCACAGACCGTCTGTCCCTTAAACTCGATATGCTCCAATCTCTATTTTCAAATAAATGGATATGACATTCATCAATTAAATCAGGTAAGATCGGAAAGATTGCTACGAAAATTCGAAATTATCTCTACTAATTTAAATATATTTCAGTCTCGTCTGCCCGTCTACTTTTCTCAATTACCTGCAGGAGAGTCTACTAAAACCCTCATTCATTACGGACAGGTAGGTTATAGAGTTTATTACTCGATATTTCGAGAAAATTAAAATATGAAGAACTGATATAATTTAAGCTGTATCGTAGATGATAAATTCGAAAAAATTTCAAAAATTCGATTATGGGAGAATAAAAAATATGCAAAAATACAAAAGGGTAAGTAGAAAGCTTCATATTTGATATTTAAATCTTTACTTTCATCCATTTATGTGATAACGTTTACCTATTAGCCTTCTCCACCGGAGTATAAGCTCGAAAAAATTCAAACTCCCATCGCAATCTTTGCGGGTTTAAACGACAAACTGGCAGATACTAAAGACGTGAATATACTTCGAAGTCGCATTCCGAATCTGTTAGCGAATCATCAAGTGAGCCTAAGAGAATGGGGTCATCTAGATTTCGTATTTGCTATAGAAACAAAGAAATACGTTTATGACCATTTATTGCGAGTAATGAAAACTATTTAAAAACTTTGTGTATGCGTAAATTAATACATTTATCAGTATAGTTTGCTTTAATTCAATGAATGCTTAACCAATACTAAATATTCTTTCTTCGTCTAAAGTATTAAAATTTATAATTTAGATTTCTTATAAACTTCACATAATCTGGTGACTTTGAGTTGCCAGTTATTCCTTTACAATGATTGAAGCTTGTGGATTTGAATCTCCTGTAGTCAATAAAATAAAAATATGTACTAAATTAATATATTTAATTATTATTCGTAGGAAATCGTTTGTTGGCTAAGAATGCTGCATTACCGTTAACTACAGATTATCTGTTAATTTAAATAATCTCTCTATGTAAATGAGAATGTTTGTTTCTTTGTTTGATCGCTATACACTCTTAGGCCGTTCAAATGATTGCTACGAAACTCGGCAGTTACGTTTAAATACATCTAACTTGAATAATATCTTACATCCCACCTTAAATTATCAATTGTATTTCTATATATCAATTAATTTCTGTCTGCATTTGATTGCTTCACATTACTTCCATCTATTGGGAAAAATTTAACAAAGTAATTAACTAAATATAATTTTTCCAAAAAAATATATATATAATTTAAAAAAATATATATATTATATTCATCGAATTACTCCGACAGTGTTATAGCGCGAAATAGAAGCTCCATTACGCCTTTACTGCGACAGGTAGCACATAGCATTTGCCTGCATGGTGTGGAATAGTGCTCGTCTGATAACTCAACGAAAGGGATACACAAGATGTTCGATAGTTTCCTTGTTAACGAATCTTAGACAAATCACGTCATGTAGGTTTCGTTTCGGATAATCGATTGAAACGTGTCTGGGTTCCACGCTATCGGCGGGTGTCACACTTTAACCAATTACAACTTAGCTATGATTGTGCTTTTGTCACGCGACTACGACCGCCGTTTTCGAAGAGAAGCACGTAGCTTTAGTGTTGTCGCGTACTAGTGTTTGCCGAACTTATTTGCATGAAAATATCTTTTCAAAGAATACACACGCAAATTTTTATATACTTCATTTGTATTCAAAGCTATCATTTTAACTTATACAAATGGAAATTAAACACAATATATTTTTAAAATAGTTATTATAATATAGTTACTTATTTTTCACTTAAATTTTAATTCGTTTTTCATAAATATTTAATTTATTTCTATGGGCAGAATATTTTTTAAAACACTTCGGCTCTAGCTTATCTCTTTATTCTACAATATTAACGGACACTCCGGAATAGCGGACGCCTCCACTTAACGTGCATTTTTACAATCTCCAAACCCTTCAAGTAGGACAGACAGACAGACAGAGAAAATAAGCTTTATTTCTCCCGATACCGCTAGGCATATTTAGGGTAGAAAGACATGGAGTAGAGTGGTGTTACATGCCGAGCAATAGAACCGACAATGTGTATGATAATGACAATTATAATGACAATATAACAGCATAAATTGCATGAGACAAGATACCTTAAAATAAGAATTTATTATATTTACTTCTAAATAGCGGACACTCTAAATAACGGGCAATGTCGTCCATAACAACTAGGGTTTCTCAAACGGGATCCCGGTTGTTTTTTCAACCCGGGAAATTTTTATCCCGGGAAATCCCGCAAATTTCTTAAAAATTCACTTTTTTTCTTATTTTGTGTTAAGGTTAAGGAATTTTGCAAATAGAAAGCATAATTAACTCATTCACTGTCAGAATACATTTGTATTTATTAATTTTAAACCTACCTATTAGTTTTTTTAAATTTTTGCTCGTTATAGCATGTCACAAATGGTCAATAATCAATATATAGCTTATTTGTGGCAGGACTATAAAAATTCTTTACTTGTCGGAACCTGTAATATCTGGAATAATTGTGCTTACGCTGTCTTGAGTTTTAACCATGCCCAGTAGCTTCAATAAATGCCTGACGCCAGATTGTGCAAATTGGGCAAGGATACAAACGAGTACAAAGTCTGCAAGTATGAAGTTTTTCTTCATAAACCTGATTATTAAAGCCAAATGAATTGCCGAATTATCGAGCTCTAAGCTTGATTCCGCTATTAAAGCAGCCAAGGTAGACAAATCAAGAATACTGGAGAGCGAAAGAAGTACTACAATCTCGAAAACGAACTTGAAACTTCCAGGCTACAGGTGAAAAAACACTTAATATCTGTCTTCTCTTAAATGCATTAAACACTATTCCAATCACATCAATTGAATCGGAAAGGGCATTCTCACAAGTCAGTGGCAAGACTTTTCATTACTAAAATAAGAATTAGAGTGAGTTATTGGAGTATTGACCATCTTTGCTTTTTAAAATCTTATAAAAGTTTGCAATATNTATAAAAAAGAGCATCGCAAGAAGCTTCAAACTACGATTTTACGTTTAATCGGCGCGCCCACAAGGTGACACTAGTTGCTATTGGGGCTAACTTGGCCTGGAAACGAGGAACGTTCCTTATTTCCGAGCCGAGTGTTGGTCAACCTATGACAAAGTTGCATGAAACAATGAACAAATATAGTTTGTTAGTTTCTTTTATATTTGTAGAATAGGCTAGAAGACATGGGTTTTCTGTCATTTTTACTTTCTCGGGTTTTATATATACCAGAGGGAAAGTATGGCGAGCGGTCAAAATATGATCTCCCAAGATGTTTACATTTTTGGACTCGGTACACCTTGAAACGTCGAGAAATGCATAAAATTCGGGGTAATTTCTGTATGTATGGATGTTAGTGTGTGGAGGGCACGATTTTTTTCACTCTGTTTGAAGCTTAATAATTCCCGTGTTTTTCGTCGAAAATTTCTGAAACTTTGCAAATAAGTTTGTTTATTAGGGGGATAGATGCTATTAAATTTTAGTGGTTAAGGGTCAAGAAATGAAGAGATAATAATAGTCGCATATATCTCCAGTAGGGTCGGACTTAATGACGATTTTACTGGTGTGTTTTATAAAAAATAGGATAATTATAGGATGTGTTTTATAAAAACTTGTAAATGTTAATACATTTACAATTTTTTATAAAACACATCCTTACACTCAAAATTGAGGGTTTTGTCGTTTTATATATTTAAAAATATAAAAAATTTTCTTAATAAAATATGATAAGAGATGGACCACCAAAATGTTAAACGTTGCCAGGAAAATTGAGCAACACGTCGCTAGTTTATTTAATAATGAAATTTGGGACCCTTTTATCGATTAGGAAAAGAGCAATCCAGACGGAAATGGCAGGCACGTGCCCAAAGTGCTCCAGTGTACGGGCAACCCTTCTTACTTATCCGTGGCTATCGGAACCAAAAATGAAAAGTTAATTACAGAATAGCATTTTCTTAGTTGAATAAACCCAATCACGTGGTTCGGATAAAAATTGGTTTTTGTCGCATTGGTTATTTTAACGATATTTAATACAAAATACGTCTCCAGATTCGTTTAGAAATATACATCCACACTCAAATTAATCAGGACATGTATAGATTTTATTCAAATCGAACATAGAATAACTTTCGGATTCCCAAACAAAAAAGATATTCTTTTTTTCGACTCGATCGGATGTTACAACTGTTTTGAATGTCCCACAGAAAAGCGTTTGGATTCTATGGTTGGTTGGTTCTCTCGCTAGTCTCAGGAGCTTGGTCCACTTATTCCCCATGTTGGTTAATCATAACAAAACTCTTGTAAAGATTCTACTTCTCTAGAGAGGCCAACCTCCTCCACCAATCTCCACACGCTTCGCTCCCTTCGCTTAATGTTCACTCATTGAACAAAATAATCTGCTGAAAACGCGAATAAATTAATCGATTTGACCACTAGATATGCAATAAAAGAGACTTCTCCACTACTCGCCAGAGTAAAAATAGTTTTGTTTTAAAATTTTCATTTAAATAATAATTAATCGAAGTATCATTAAAATAAGATTTTAGAATTATTTGAAAATAGATGATGTAATTAAAATCTCGACAAATACGAAAATTAAATGCGAATGAAAGAATTAAATGTTGGACTTACTTCTTTCGCCATTAAAAATGTTTTGTTAAGAACGACATTTCCCGTCGTAATTTTTTGTGGCCATTTAAATTGTCCCGTCCAATCCGCTTCCAATTTACAATTCAATTAAAACGAGATTCTTACAGACGAAAAGATAAATAATATACTGTATACATATATCCCATACTTTAATTATAACCTATATGCTACGTATACTGTCTTGATAGAACAACATATGCTGACATTGGGAATATCAATATTAAAAAACTGTCTTTTTTTTATAAGTAGATAAACACAACATGCATTTAAATACTTTAATATTTTCCCCACAGCCATCGTCGTCCTTTATTGTTTGTTGCCTTAATACGCCCGTTTAAGCTTTGTCTATGACTAAATTTTAAAGTACACTGGCTACGTTCCATTTTATTTAACGTAGTTGCTCGAATTTGACGGTAGGATAAACATCATAAACACGCTAGTTTTACTCTTGGGATCGGGCGAAAAAGCCGACTTGCAAATGCGCCGCGATGAGAAAGAAATTGAAATTGACATTAATGCTGGATAAGGGTATAGACGTTTGTAGCGGCGCTCGTAGACTAAAGAAAATGGAGGCATAAGCTATAAAAAAGAGCATCGCAAGAAGCTTCAAACTACGATTTTACGTCCAATCGGCGCGCCCACAAGGTGACACTAGTTGCCATTGGAGATAACTTGGCCTGGAAACGAGGAACGTTCCTTATTTCCGAACCGAGTGTTGGTCAACCTATGATGAAGTTGCATGAAACATTGGACAAATATAGTTTGTTATTTTTTTTTATATTTGTAGAATAGGCTAGAAGACACGGGTTTTTCTGTCATTTTTACTTTATCCGCTTTTATATATACCAGAGAGAAAGTATGGCGAGCGGTCAAAATATGATCTCCCAAGATGTTTACATTTTTGGACTCGGGACACCTCGAAACGTCGAGAAATGCATAAAGTTCGGGGTAATTTCTGTATGTATGGATGTTAGTGTGTGGAGGGCACAATTTTTTTCACCCTCTTTGAAGCTTAATAATCCCCGTGCTTTTCGTCGAATATTTCNTAAGGCT